CCCCATGGTCCCCTATTGCCCGGGGGCCCCATGCGTTGTCAGTCCGCTCCTGGACCTGGGTGGCTTCCTTTACTATACAGTACTAGTATTTTTGTAGATTGATACCGGAGGTCTTTAGCTCCCATTTGAGCTGAGCTGGGCTTCTGGTGTATACCTGCCCTCAATCTACCTATTTCTTTGACTGTCTCTAGATGGGAGCTCTGTTAGAGTGGGGTTTTTATTGACCACAGTTTACAGTGGTACATTGCAGTGTGGCTTTCACATATATTTGTAAATATATGCAACAACAACGCAAATCGCTAAAGAAAAAGTTTAGACTATGTGTTTTTGCTGACAAATTGGTAAGTGCGTTTTTAGGCTTTTTTGTATTATATTGTTCTGTGAACTGCTCTGCACCAAACAATAAACCACAAGACAGGGTCAGTCTGGAAAAAAAAAACATTAAAATAAAGGGCAGGGCTGGACAAAACAATAAAACACTGTTCAGGACCAGCCCAAAAAAAACCAATAAATCGCAAGGCAATGCCAGAGAAAAAAACAAACAAACCCACAGGACAGAGCCAGGCCAAAAAAAACAAAAGACGAAAAAGCCCAGGGCAGGGCCAGGCCACAAAAATAAAACACTAGGGCCACATAAAAACAAACAAATAATAAAACACATAGCAGAGCCAGCCCCCCCCCCCCCCCCCAAAAAAAAAAATAAAAAACTGGGTAGGACCAAGTCAAGAAAAAAACAGGGTAGAGCTGAATGCTCCTGCAGAAAAAAGCAATACAAGAGCAAAGGTTATTACAGACATGCATTTCATAATCACTATGCAAACTACATAAGAACAACATTTGATAGTAAAGCCATCCGTACAGATCAAGTTATCATATAGCAGGTGTGTTGTGGTAACCAGTGGTGTATTTTGTTTTTGTGGTGCCCCAGGCAACACAAAAAATGCACCCCGCCCCCCCCCCCCAAATGAAAGAGAGAGAGAGAAAAAAGAGGGAGAGAGGAGAGGAGGGGGGGGGAAAAAAGAGAGGGAGGGAGAAAAAGAGTGAGAGAGGGGGGGAGAGGGAGAAAGAGAGGGGGGGAGGAGGGGGGCAGAGAAAGAGAGAGGGGGGGAGAGAAAGAGAGGGGGGCCGAGAAAAAGAGAGAGGGGGGTCAGAGAGAAAGAGGGGGGCAGAGAGAGAAAGAGAGGGGGGCAGAGAGAGAAAGAGAGAGGGGGGAGAGAAAGAGAGGGGGGCAGAGAGAGAAAGAAAGAGAGAGGGGGAGAGAAAGAGAGGGGGGCAGAGAGAGAAAGAGAGAGGGGGGAGAGAAAGAGAGGGGGGCAGAGAGAGAAAGAGATAGGGGGCAGAGAGAGAAAGAGAGAGGGGCAGAGAGAGAAAGAGAGAGAGGGGCAGAGAGAAAGAGCGAGGGGGCACAGAGAGAGAGTGGGGGCAGAGAGAAAGAGGGAGGCAGAGAGAGAAAGAGATAGGGGGCAGAGAGAGAGAAAGAGATAGAGAGAGGGGGCAGAGAGAGAGAGAGAGAGAGAGAGAGAAGAGAGAGAGGGGGGGCAGAGAGAGAGGGGGAGAAAGAGAGAGGGGAGAGAGAGAGGGGGGGAGAAAGAGAGAGGGGGGAAAGAGAGAAAAAGAGGGGGGGGGAAAGAGAGAGGGGATAGAGGGAGAGGGGGGAAGAAAGAGAGAGGGATAGAGAAAGAGAGGGGAGAGAAAGAGAGGGGGGGAGAAAGAGTGAAGGGGGAGAGAGGGGGGCGAGAGAGAGAAAAAGAGAGGGTAGAGAGAGGGGGGGAGAGGGGGGGAGAGAGAAAGAGGGGGGGAGATAGAGGGGGGAGTGGGGGAAGAGAGGCGGGAGAAAGAGAGGAAAAATGCCACCCTGGGCAAATGCTTGTTTGCCTCGCAGTAAATACACCCCTGGTGGTAACGCGTGTGTTTTTCTGTACTGCATGTCCTTTGTGAGAAAAGTGTCTTTAATCGCTCACTTTCAGGGTTTATAAAAGACTCCAGTTCCTTTTCGGTAGAATAAAAAGATGGTGCTACTGATATTGTCCTGTCCCATGATAGGTGTGCAAATGTTTATCAAATACAATAATTTATATCAAAATACACTAAAAAAAAATCATTATTGGCACTTACAAACATAGCATAACTTACTAAATTCCTACTAAATCTAAAAGCTAAAGCTGTCTTGGTTTAATAAATAACAAAATACCCCATTACTTTGGTGCTATATGTAATGACACCAAGGTATTGGTAAATCAGGTCTGTTTCATAAGGGTTCATGTACACTGCAGCTGATAAACTCACGTTTAGGAGCTGTTCAGTGTTTTTTTTTTTCAGCAGCCCCTGAACTCACCCTAATGTTTTCCTATGTGTCCATGTACACATCTTCGTTTACAGTTGTTTACAGGCATTTGAGTTTGCAGTTGTTTTTTTGAATGGAGAAAACTTGCGTTCAGCAGTAGATTTTATCAGCGTTTCAAATGCCAAACGCTTTTAAACGAGGCTAAACGCAGCTAACCGCATTTAGAAGCATTTGCGTTTGAAATTTTTTTTTTAACTCTTCCATTTCTAGATGCTGTCCAGAGCTTTTCTTCATCATGAAAAATGCATGCAAAGCGTTTTCCCGGTACTCAAATGGACCTGGTATACCATACTTTGAGCTTTCGCATGAAAGAAAATATGTTAGACACTGCTGCAATAATTTCTGCACAGAAATAAGCTGGAACATATCCAAACACCACTAAAAAACAGCTAATCTCAACAAATACTGCTCTCTCTGCTTCTGCTCTCTCTCTCTCTATTGCTCTCAAAATGTCTGAAATAGTTCATTTTTGACTGTTTTTTCAGTGCATTCTCTGCATTTTGAATGGTCTTCTGAGGTTATCTTTAAAAAAACGCTTCTAAATGCAAACACTTATAAACGCGGTATGCAAACGTGGCTAAACAGACGTTTTTAACCTACGTTTTCCAGCAGTCAGTTTCCATCATTCAGAAGTGTACATGGAGCCTTAGGAATATGCAGCCACTTGTCCTGAAGTGGTTACACTAACGTTCCCTTGAAAATAATTGCTAAAGGACAACACAGACACTTCCTATGGACTGTTTCACACAAGGCCTTCCTTTAATACTACCCAATGTATCAGTCTATTAGCAGCAACAGCATGACATGCTTAGGAAATCCATGCATTATATCTGTTGTCTTATCTTGGTTTAGAACAACAGTACTTATCACTGCTCTTGGCACAGCTACTTCCAGATAAGAACATACTGAAGTGACTTCAATCCTTAAAAATCTTGTACTGTGAATAAGACCAAACAAATCCAACAGCAATTTTAAAACTTTATTATTATTCTGTTTTTTAAATTCTGATCCAATATTTTTTGTCTTATGGTCCTGGCCTATTAGCTTTAACAAACATGTACGTTTTATGGAGTTTATTATACTATAATGTAAACCTACAATAGGTGAATATGATAAGTGAGGGCTTAAAGAATATGTTACCTCAGTAGTTCATAGCCCTGGTATGTACCATGTACTTGTGTTAAAAAGTATCCTGTTCTCTTAGTATTGTTTACTTTGTGTAAAACGTCTGATGTTATTGCCAGTCCCCCTGCTTTCCTATTTCAAACTGACCACGTTAGGCAGGAAAGCACATCCTTCCCAGTGCAGTCAGTTTTCTGGGCATGCTGGGAGAACAGCCTACCTGTCCTTCAAGGGTCAAAATGTGTGCTGACACGTCCCCCCTGCACAACCATTCACTGGGAAGATCAGTGCACTGCAATTTCTCCACCCCTAGCTCTCTAAGCCCCTCATCCAGCTGAGAACAGAGGCCATGTGATCACTAATCTAAAAAAGAAGGGAAAAAAATGTATTTCTAATGTGTGTGTGTGTGTGTGTATATATGTGTGTATATATGTGTGTGTATATATATATATATATATATATATATATATATATATACACACAGACACACACACAAGTGTTTGCCCTTCATTTTCAACTGAACGGGTCGTTTTACAAGGTGATTGTTCACATATAAGTATAACTGATGTGAATGTACTATATATATATATGTATGTGAGTGTAAAGTGCTACGTAAATTGACGGTGCTATATACGTACGTGAAAATAACTGCGTACCTGTGCCCACCCCCAAAAAAAGAAAATGAATAAGCAGCTAACAAAAAAAAAGAGATATCCTTTTCACCAAATAAGTCTAAATAAAAATGTGTTGCGCATAACCTAAATAAACATTAGTGTTCAGATTATACAGAAATGTCATAAACATATAACAGTACATATAAATATAGCATCCTTATATATATATATATATATATATATATATATATATATATATATATATATATATATATACACCACACATACCATATAACTCCAGGTGAAATTATATACATTGCAAGGATTTAAAGCTGAACTCCAGGCAAACTGGTAAAGTTAAAGTGAAATACAAAGTGAACCTTTCCTTCTATGCAGAAGCTTCCTGTAATAAAGTGTGGTCACCATTGCTCTCTCTTCTTGTTTAGGGTGACTGGGCTGGAGGTGTCACTGCTACTTTTACAAGATAAAATCTGGGTTTGCAAAGGCATTTAGTACACATAAAGTGGATTTATGCCTATATGGCTATTGAGGAGTATATTTAAATGAGAGGTTTTGTGCCCAAAGTTCAGCTTTAATGATCCATTGAGTAGCGACAGCCCCATAGTTGTAGTCAATGTGTCCAACCACCTAGTAGTCGGTCTCTCTCTTCTCCTGGTTCCTTCGATCTTCCCAAACATTATTTCCTTCTCCAATGACCTCTCTCTTCTAACAGTGTGACCAAAATAAAACAGTCGCAACATCATCATTTGGCTTCTAGTGACATAGCTGGTTTGATCTCTTTCAAAATTGAAATACTACTTCTATGGGCTGTCCTCGGCACGCATAAAATCCTTCTCCAGCACCAAAGCTGAAATTAGTCGATCATCTTTCTGCCCCGTTTTCGTTGTGTCTAGCCTTTAGCCCTGCCTCCTTCTTGGGACTACAAGTCCCAAGGTCCACTGCTCTTGTTCGAGGAAGCAGAACTGCTCTATAGCTAGGAAGTGACGGAAAAGTCTGAGGGCAGCACTGGAGGGGAACGTGTTGATCTGTGGTTCCGAGGATAGTGTCCTCTGTATTCAGCTTGTAATAGCTGGCACCTCGCTACAGCAGCAACTAAACATTTATCAAACAATAAGGTATCAATGGTATCCCATTTGAGTTAATCAGAGGCTTCAAAAGTGCTATCATGGCCCTTACTCAACTGTGTCAGTGTATTTGGAAGGAAAAAACATGGCCAACCAACTGGAGAAGATCACTGTTTATTCCTTTACTGAAGAAATTCCTTTACTGAAGAGCCATAATTGATAACTGAGATGAGTGCATGGATGAGTCTGATCTTTGTTTTGAGCTTTAATGTCTTTACCTTTGAATACTTTGTCAAGAGTCTTCATTGTGTGGTTACCAAGTGCTCTTCTGCAAAGTATTTTGACACTACTAGTTGCGTCTTTGTTTTTGAAAGAGTCCTATGATCATCAAGCTCAAAATTGTCATCATTTTCTGTGTTCATGATCCTTGTCTTGTTTATATTTAATTCCAATCCCATGTTTCGACTTTCGGTTTGGACTTTTCCCAGTAAATACAGTATACCTGCTGGTGATGAGCATTGTGTTGTCTGCTTAAAGCAGGATGTTTATGTTTCGGCCACCGACTTTAATACCGACATGTTGTACAAGTAAGGTGACAAGATGCATTCCTGCCTGATGGCTCATATTATTGGAAACCAGTCAGTGTTGCTTTATTCAGTTCTCACTGCGGCTTCTTGATTTTTGTTGAGACACTTGATCAGAGTTATGTGTTTAGGTATTCCTATTTGCAACAGACTCCTCCAGAATTTATCATGATCCACTTAATCAAATGCTTTGCTGTAGTCAATGAATCAAAAGTATGCAGTCTTTTGGTATTCTTTACACTTCTCTAATATCCATCTAACATTGACAACAATGCCTGTTGTTCCTAAACCTTCCCGAAACCCAGTCTGAGCTTCAGGTAGTTCTTGCTTAATGTATGTTTGTATGCTTCATTGCATTATTTTTGACAGTACTTTGCTGACATGTGGAATTAATGTAATCATTATGTAGTTGTTACATTCTTTGGCATTGCCTTTCTTCAGTAAAGGAATGAACAGTGACCTTCTCCAGTCGGTTGGCCATGTTTTTTCCTTCCAAATACACTGACACAGTTGAGTAAGGGCCATGATAGCACTTTTGAAGCCTCTGATTAACTCAAATGGGATACCATTGATACCTTATTGTTTGATAAATGTTTAGTTGCTGCTGTAGCGAGGTGCCAGCTATTACAAGCTGAATACAGAGGACACTATCCTCGGAACCACAGATCAACAAGTTCCCCTCTAGTGCTGCCCTCAGACTTTTCCGTCATTTCCTAGCTATAGAGCAGTTCTGCTTCCTCGAACAAGAACAGTGAACCTTGGGACTTGTAGTCCCAAGAAGGAGGCAGGGCTAAAATGTATGTAATGTTTGTAATGAAATGGTACCAATAGTTGTGGTACACTGCAGCAAACTTAAAATCAGTGTACAAATAAGGGGCTAACAGTGGCAAAAAAATGTCCGTCAGTGGTGTCACTAGAAGGAAAGAATGACACTGTGTCGGTGGTGTCACTGGTGTCAGTGATATTATTACAGAAATTACATATTCTTTAAAAATAACCTCTAGCATTAGTGACAGTTTGCACAATAATAACCCTCAGCATTGGTGTCAGTAGTAGCAATAATAACCCCAAGAATTTGGTGTCAATAGTAGCAATAATAACTCCAGCATCAATGCCAGTATACACAACAATAACTCCATTAGGATACAGATGTTTCAACCGCTGTACATGTGAAGAAGCTGTCCCAGAACGCCACTGGGACATTTTTTGCCGGCTTGGACAGCATAGATGACAGTCTCTGTAATAATAACCCCCAGAATCAGTGCCAGTTTGGCAACAATATCCCCCAGCATTGGTGTCAGCAACAATAACCCCTGGCATTGGTGGCAGTTTTGCAATAATAACCTCCAGCATCGGTGACAGTTTTGCAATAATAACCCCCAGCATTGGTGCCTGTTTCTGCAATAACAATCCTTGGCATTGAAACCCCCAGCAATGGTGCCAATAGCAGCAATAATAACCCCAGCATAGGTGGTCAGTGGTGTTATGCTATTTAAACCCCACCTAAAGTGGAATTTCAGCTTAAACCTAACTAGCCCTAAAAATTCCCCCGGCAAAAAGTGTATCTGCAGCGCTCCTCTAAGTGTATCTGCCCCCCCCCCCCCCCCCCCCATCCTTCTAACACCTAAGGGGACTAACCTGTATATGAAAGATGTATATGATTACCTATCTTCAGACCACTCAGGTCCAGTCATGCGATCTCCTGTAACAGCCAGCAGCAGCTGCAGGGAAGAGGAGAGAGCACTGACAATGGCTACTGGGTAAAGCCTGGAGACATGGCATCACCCATGTCACCCAGCTGCTGTTGTCCCAGCTGCTGTTGGTTCTTCCGCTCCCCTGCATAAACTGCTGGCTCAAACAAGGGATCATGTGACTGGACAGGAATGGCCTAAAAAATAGTTAAGTCAGCATAGGTGTTAGGAGGAGGTAATATTAAGGCTAGTTAATTTTAAGCTGAAATTCTACTTTAATCTTTCTGCACTGATGGTCAGCGGTAGTTCTGTTTCAAATATTCCTCTCCCCCCATTGGTGGGCAATGGCAGTGTTACTAAACCTTTTTTGTGCTGCACTAGTGGCCACAGGCAGTGTTTATTAACTCTTTCATGCCTCTCTCATAAAGAGGTTAATTAACACTGACACTGGTACCACTAATGCATCAGCATCAGCAATATATTAACCCAGGGGTGGGAAACTGTGGCCCTCCAGCTGATGGTGAACTACAAGTCCCATCATGCCTCTGCCTTTGGGAGCCATGCTCGTAACTGTTAGTTTTGCAATGCCTTGTGGGACTTGTAGTTCTACAACAGCTGGAGGGCACAGTTGCCCACCCCTGTATTAACCCCTTCATGCTCCACATTACTTATGGCATTGTTATTCCATTAACCCCTTCACCACCAAGTTCCCCCCCCCCCCGTGAGTTACCCACTACTGTTCACGGGAGAGCTTTATGACTGACACTGTAATGCACCGTCGGTGTCTCAACAAGTAATGTTTAGGGGGATCTGCCATCCAATGCCTGCTGCGTTTGTCATTCTTCTTTGCAGCACCAACGCCATTCTCTCCTCCTCTCCTAGATTCCACCCTCTGAATGACGTCACATACTCAGAGACCAGTACTAGAAATCATCAGTCGGGTGGAGATTACTCCGCCTGACCAAGAAAAGTATGTATACCTTCCAGCCTAGTGCCAGGTCCAGGAGCGCACTCAGCACACTGTTACAGCTGTCAATACGGTGTGCACAGTGACAGTGTGCTCAGGATCTACTCTCTTAATATACAGCAGTGGAGGCTATCTGTGAACTGGACTGGCTGTGCGCTCTACCACGCACCCACGCACCTATATTGATATAGTCAATTTGATTACGATGCATACCATTTGGATAGGTCCATGTGTATAGCCAACTCTTATGGTGCTGAAATTGTGTGTTCATGACGGACAGTTGAATCATTTTGCAAAACTGTACAAAGCTATCACCAGCTTAATTTCTGTCTCCTAGACCGTATTTTCCAACTACTGCATCTTCAGATGCACACCCTACTTTTACATTGAAGTCTCCAATGATAATCAGTAGATCTTGATTTTCTACTAGATCTATTGCTTTTTTGAAGTTGTTCATAAAACAACAATACACCTCTTCTGCATCTGTTGTTGGAGCATACACTTGGATCAGGGTAACATTGCTCGGCCTTCCCTGTAGATGGATTGACATGACATTGACATGATTCTGTCACTAATAGTATTGTACTCTAGTAACGTCTTTAAAAGCTAATTATTGAGGATGAATGCCACACCGTTTTTCCTGTAAGTTTTGTTACCAGTATAGAAAATTGGATTTAACCACTTCCTGTCCGGACACTTTCACCCCTTTCCTGTCCAGGCCAATATTCAGCTTTCAGCATTATCACACTTTGAATGACAATTGTGCGGTCATGCAACACTGTACCTATATTAATTTTGTAGCATTTTTTTGAGACAGATAAAGCTTTATTTTAGTGGTATTTATTCACCCCTGGGATTTTTATTTTTTTTGTTATTTAAATGAAAATGTCCAAAAATTTTGAAAAAAGTGTTTTTCTTATAAAATTTTGCAAATAAATAATATTTCATTATAAATCTTGGCCAAAATTTATTCCGTTATCTTTTTAGTAAAAAAAAAAATAACACAAATTAGTTTATAACCAAAAATTATAATTTTTAAAAAATGTGTTTTACATTTTTTTTAATTTTTTTATATATTATTTGTTTTTGTTTTTTACATAATGTCACCCTAGCAGTACAGTGTCACCATGGTGACACTTTACTACTTGTGGGGTGTGATGAAAATTTTTTTTTTTTTTTTTACACAGATTGCTTTTTCACCCATAAAGTCTGTAAAAGCAATCATTTCTCCTTCTCTCTGGCTGCATTCTTACAGCCATTGAGAACTACTGAGTGAGCTGTGATTGGTCACAGCTTGTCACATGGTACAAGGCTGTTGTGAATAGCCTTGTACCATGTGACCTCTGTGATCATTCACAGATTTCACACGTAGTAAGCAATGATATCACAAGTGACATCTTGCTTACTACTCTGTATATGATCACTGATTGGCCAATCAGTGATCAGATGATCGGGACCTCACACAGAGGTCTCGTCTGATGATCGGTGTTCCACTGTGTCCGAAGGACACAGCAGGCACCGGATCGCGGTGCTGCGCACTCCGAGGGAGCGCGCACAACTAGAAAATGCGGGTGCCGTTTATGAACAGCAACCTGCCCCTAGAGTGACACCGTCCTGCCGTTTAAAAATAGTAGGTGGACGGCAAGTGGTTAAAGTGTCCCTGTCCTGTCCATTTGAGTAGGCTTGATGATCACTATTATTAGAATTGGTATCACTATTCAAAATATTTTTATGTTTTATGTTATTTCATTTTATTTTTGTTTTATCGGGTTTGTCTGCAGAAATTTCCACATACCTGCTCGCGAATGGTGAGTGGAAATTATGGTGGGGGTTAGTGTGTCCCCCAGGGCCGTCTTGCTGAGCAGGCTTGGAGCTCAGGCTGGATCTATCATTGGTACTGGGAGCCGTCAGACTGCTCAATAGCTGAGTGCAGTGAAAGCAAAGGAAAGAGCGTGTGCTGTGCTCTCTGCCTCCCCCTAGAGTGCAGTACCCGGCTTTGTGAGTGAACAACGAAGTACTGCACCTTTTCATAGGGGTGTGTGTGTGTGTGTTTGTGTGTGTGCCTACCTAATTTCAGCTCACTCTGGTCACAGGACCCTCTATGTCAGCCAGTGTTGGCTTCAGGGGAGAGCACTTATTTATGTCAGGTACTTATATAGCGCTGTCAATTTATGCAGCGCTTTACACATATACACCGCGTTCCAAATTATTATGCAAATTCTATTTAAGTGTCACAAAGATTAAATATTTTGTTTTTCAGTTTAACTCATGAATGGCATTGTGTGTCAGGGCTCTTTTGATCACTGAAAACAATCTCGGACACCTGTGATAATTAGATTGGCAGGGGAGCCCAATTTAAGGAAAAACTACTAAAGGAGGGTGTTCCACATTATTAAGCAGAGCACCATTTTCAAGCAATATGGGGAAGAAAAAGGATCTCTCTGCTGCCGAAAAGAGTGAAATAGTTCAATGCCTTGGACGAGGTATGAAAACATTACATATTTCACAAAAGCTTAAGCGTGATCATCGCATTATTAAGAGATTTGTGGCTGATTCAGAGCACAGACGGGTTCGTGCAGATAAAGGCACATTGAGGAAGATTTCTGCCAGATCCATGCATCGGATCAAGAGCGCGGCTGCTAAAATACCATTACATAGCAGCAAACAGATATTTGAAGCTGCTGGTGCCTCTGGAGTCCCACGGACATCAAGGTGTAGAGTCCTCCAGAGTCTTGCAACTGTGCATAAACCTTCTATTCGGCCACCACTAACCAATGCTCACAAGCAGAAACGGCTGCATTGGGCAGAAGAATACATGAAGACTAATTTTCAAACAGTCCTGTTCACTGATGAGTGCCGTGCAACCCTGGATGGCCCAGATGGATAGAGTAGTGGATGGTTGGTGGACGGCCACCCTGTTCCAACAAGGCTGCGACGTCAGCAAGGCGGTGGTGGAGTCATGTTTGGGAATCATGGGAACAGAGCTGGTGGACCCCTTTAGGGTCCCCGAAGGTGTAAAGATGACCTCTGCAAAGTATGTGGAGTTTATGACTGACCACTTTCTTCCCTGGTACAGAAGGAAGAACTATGCTTTCCGTAATAAAATCATCTTCATGCATGACAATGCATCATCTCATGCTGCAAAGAATACCTCTGCATCAATGGCTGTTATGGGGATAAAAGGAGAGAAAGACATGGTGTGGCCTCCATCCTCCCCTGACCTCAATCCTACTGAGAACCTTTGGAGCATCCTCAAGCAAAAGATCTATGAGGGTGGGAGGCAGTTTACATCCAAACAGCAGCTCTGGGAGGCTATTCTGACATCTTGCAAAAAAATTCAAGCAGAAACTGTCCAAAAACTCACAAGTTCAATGGATGCAAGACTTGTGAAGCTGCTATCAAATAAGGGGTCCTATGTTACAATGTAACGTGACCTGTTAAAATGTTTAAAAAGTTAAAATGTTGTTAAAAGTTTGATTGAAATAGCTTTTGATATCAGTAAATATGCTGCAAACACAACACATGACAATTTTCAGTTCTTTACAACCTATAAAGTGTTTTGAAACTTACTGTGTGTAATAATTTGGAACAGTGCATTGTAAGTTTTTTATAAAAAAAAACATTTTTTATAAAAAAAAAATCCTGTTATCATTAGGAGGTTTGTTCAATAAAAATTTGAATTGTACTCTTAATAATTGATAACATGAGAATTATGCTGACTGTTATTTACATCAATTATTTAGGTAAATGAAAAAAATATCATTTGCATAATAATTTGGAACATGGTGTATATATATTGAACATTCACATCAGTCCCTAACGCTCAAGGGGCGTACAATCTAAGGTCCCTAACTCATATTCATACATATACATATTAGGGCCAATTTAGACAGGATCCAATTAACCTACCTAACAGCGTGCGTGCGTATGTGTGCGTGTCTGTGTATGCATGTACATGTGTCTGTGTGTATGTACAATATATAAATATGTAAAGCGCTGCGTAAATTTATGGCGCTATATAAGTACCTGAAATAAATAAGAAATAAATAATGTACATGTGTGTATCTGTACATGTGTCTGCGTGTATGTGCATGTATGTGTGTGTGTGTACATGTGGCTGTGTGTGTATGTACATGTGTTTGTGTGTATGTACGTACATGTGTCTGTGTGTACATGTGTCAGTGTATGTATGTACATGTGTCTGTGTGTATGTACATGTGTCTGTGCATGTGTATTTCTACGTATGTACATGTATCTGTGTGTATGCATGTCTGTAGGTGCCTGTGTGTGTATATGTGTATACATGTGTCTGTATGTGTGTGTGTGTGTACATGTGTCTCTGTGCATGTGTGTACATGTTTCTATGTGTGTGTGTATATGTACATGTCTGTGTGTGTGTGTATACAGGTGTCTCTGTGTGTGTTTGTTGGTGGCGAGTAACTCTTAAGGCCTGGCTAGTAGCTCAGGACTTGAAGTTTTAAGCCCTGTATACACAGTATATATATATATATATATATATATATAGATATAGCTATATATATATATAATGTATTTTTTGCAATTTTAAGACATATTTTACTTTGGTATTTTTGCCTCTACGTAATCAACATAATGTTCACATTTTTAATATATGTATAAATAGCTGTATATATATCTATATATATATATATATATATATATAGATATATATAGATATATATATATATAGTGTTTTTTTTTCTTCCTTTCTCATGTATTTGTTTCTCAGTATATTTTTCATATTTGTTTAACGGGCCTGAAGAAGGGAAACTCTTTTCTCCCGACACGCGTTGGCTTGATGTACTTGTCATTACTCTCTATAAATACCTCCTAATCTACCATGAAAAGTGCATTCTTTTGGACATGGGGCGCTCCTTCTTTTCTATTATTCCACTATCCATTTGAGCTCACTGATTCCTTGGTTCATACTTCATATGTTCTATGTTCCAATGGTGATAATGTCTTTACAGCTTTTTATCTCCCTTTTCTGCCCAGCTACATCACCATCAGGACGTCTTGTCGTATTTAATTCATCAGCTTTATAAGTACTGGGCTTACACTTGGTGATCATCAGCTCTTCCCTAGTAGCATGATGAGTGTCTTCCAACTTAGGGGACCAATTTCCAGCACTATATGACAGTTCTTCGTTGTCCCAGCATCTCAAGTTTTCATGGCATAATACAGAAATAGACTGCCGGGCCTTTCTTCTGCACAGTACAAGCTCGATATATCTCCACCAGAACCTGTCCGCCTTGGGAGGCTGGTAGTGAAATCGATGGCATAACTTTTGGCTTCATAGATACATGCAAGCCCCAGCAGAGCGATAAGCCTATGTACCATATAATTAAGTATTACAGACCTGCATTACCCACTTAAAGCAGTTAGAATTTTTTTTTTTCACCATGCAGTGGGCCCCCACTGCATGGATCAGCTGCTTGTTTTTTCTAGGGTTGAAGACTAAGCTCATACTCGCCTGAACCACCAATCCTAAAGAAAACTGCACTCCCTAACGGTCCAGCGGTGGACTGTTCCTGTCTGTGCTGATGTCAGGAATAGCTCTTCTACAAAACTGCTGGACCATGGAGGGGCAGGAGCCGAAAGGACCGGTCTTGTGTAGGGAGGATCAGCGGGTCAGGTGAGTATATCTTTGGTGTCCTCTCCCCTAGAACAAAATGAGCATTTGAACCATGCATTGTGGGCACATCCTCACTGCATAGGCCAAAAACCTTTCCCCCCAGATTTCTGCTTTAAGCTCTGGAAGGTTTTACCCCCTTCATGACCAAGGTATTTTTTCTATTAACTGGCAATTGTTCGGTTATGCAACAATGTGCGCAAATTAAATGTATATGAAATGTATATCATTTTTTTCACACAAATAGAGCTTTCTTTTGGTGGTATTTGATCATCGCTGTGTTTTTTTTTTTTTAATTATATAATTTTTTTTTTTTTTTAAATGCTGATATTTTCTACTTTCTGTTATAAAACATATCCAATAAAACATTTTAAAAAAATTAAATTTTTTCTTTAATCCTTTAATGTAATTTCTTCATAAATGTATGCCAAAGTGTATTCTGCTACATGTTCTTGATAAAACAAAAAATCTCAATAAGTTTATATCAGTTGGTTTGTGCAAAATTTACAGCGTCTGCAAAGTATAGTATATATACTGGAATTTACATAGCTATGATGCTACACTGGTAATGGTGGTTATCAGTGACTTATAATAAGTCTTTGATAGAGTGGTGGGAAATATGACACAAACTGACCCTGACTGAGAGGGGAAATTACTGACTAACTGACACATCAATTGTGACACTAATACAGTGATCAGTGCTAACATTGTACACTGTCACTGTTCTAATGACACTGTCTGGGAAGGGGTTGACATCTGGGGCAATCGAAGGGTTAACCATGTGCCTAACTGTGTATAATATGTGCTGCTTTTACTAATCGATGCAGGGTGAAAACACAGTCACAACACTGCTCTCTGTGCAGATCCCTGAGTTGTTAGTAAACATAGGGCTCTGTACTGTGATTCACTAAACCAATCAGCAGGTAATGGCCATAAATCATTGGCTGGGACCTGGTGACTGACTTGTGCTGTACCGAATGACAGCACAGATTGGACGCAGAGGGGTAGGGTGGAGGGGCGCTTGCATGCACCCTGTAACCAGAAATGCTGGATCACTTACTGGACCACCCACAGTAAAAAGTCTGTGGGTGGTCCTTAAGCGGTTAATATGTGTCTTTTTTTTATCTGCCTGGAATTCAGCTTTAAGTAAACATTTTTGCTTATCTGAAAAACTTGCTCTTAGTACAACTGAGCAATCAAAGTGTTGCAATAGGAGAAGTTGCAGTGTATGCAGCTCTTGGTTTAGGTTTGGTTTCTGTATATGGTTTGGTATGACAATAGTTAAAGACACTGCCTATAAACACTGCTAACATTCAGTCACAAGTGAAGGAGCAGCAACGGACCCACATATTTCATAACGCTGTTTAGTGGGACCCCCAATTGCATTAGGGATTAGAGATGAACTTTGGGTTTGAGTTGACCATGAGATTGATTCTAGCCCGAGCTGTTTTTGCTGCACAGACAAATCAGATACCCGTTCCCCACTTAGTGATATTTAAAAAGAATAATTTGTTTTGCACTTGTACATGTCCCATATGGCAGTGAGAAGCTGCCTATGCCCCTTTTTACCAAAAGCTTGCAAATTGGCCCTGAAATATGTTTGGGGTTCACAGATTTCAGGCTGGGTTCACGAATCCTCCTGTAAAGTAAACCCAGACCAGTTCATTCAACTCTATAAATGACCAATGGGAAACTGTAGTTGGGGGAACAGTCAAATTCAGTGTCTAAAGGAAACAGTGAGATTACCTTAAGAGTAATGCTTTTCTATTAGGATTATATATTAGGTGTGAGCGGGAGACAATGAGAGGTGCCCACAGTGAGGAAGTGGGGGTTAAAGTTCAAGGGGCTTTTAGCAATTTTGCAAGATCTGTGGTTTACCAGCAGGGCTGGATCTAGCCTATCTGATCTGGAGGTGCAAACACTTTCATTTTATCCTTGTGGCTGTGTACACCATGGTGGGTTGGGCTTCAGTGCCTCATTATAGGGTCCACCCTGCTGATGACACTGGTCCGGGGGGCGATGCCAAGATCCCCAGCACCCCCCTAGTTCTGACCCTGCTTACCAGCCAAATCAGACTGAATTGCAAATGGTACAGGTTTAGTCCCACCTCTGGATCCTGCAGCCTATGTCTGAATGTGACTCAAGAGAGGTCAATGTGTGTGGGTGCTTTGTGTGATTAGTGACGAATCAGTGGCTCAAAGACTCTTCCCGGATTGACTCTTCAATTCAAAGCCAGTCTGAATTACTAAGGACTCTGCTCTGCCAGATAGTATGTTCTTTGCCAATATCCCAGAAATAGCCTGCATTACTCAGCTCTGTCAGGAACCCAACAGAATTATTTTGTGGCATATCGGTTATTAACAATTTTACATGCTCATTTTTTTCTGGTTTAACAGTTTTGCTATTAACATTATATCTAGGAACAACCTTGGCTTCTGAACACATAGGAGCAATATTTCAGGAAACTGTGCGGGGACCTATTAGCACCTGCCTTCAGACACGAAGCATAGTTATACTACTTTACGATAATCTCAAGACCTGTCAGTTTCTACAAAATTATTATTTTTTGTACCTGTTAAAAGATAAAATGATAGCTGAATTCCAAGAATTAGATCAAATATACCCTTGCAAGGCAACCCCCACCTCTTGCACTACAAGGGTTAATTGCTCCTTTGGTCTAGTGGAACAGGGATAGGTGGTAATACTTACCTTATTCCTGGCTCCAACAGGCTCCCTCATTCCACGTGACCTGTCCAGTGCTCCCACCTCTCTAAGGCTCTCTTGGATGAGGTCACATGCTTGCTTCTCTACATGCAATGCATTGTTAATAGCCCAGCATTGAACACAGTTATATTGAGGGACTGCTCACAGCCTGGAGCTTTGGGTAGTTTGGGCAGCACTGTAGCATGGGATAATTAGTATATGTTATCCCTGCACGCAGGGCCGTGTATAAAGGGGGTACCACCAGCCCTCCTATACAGGACCCAGGCCAGCAGGGGGGGCCCAGACATCTGAGTGAATTAGGGAGGGTGATTGGCACAGTGGGGCGGCAATTACTGGAACCGATCCCCTGTATGGCTCTCTCTGCAGCAGCTGACAGCCAGCTTCTTCTCCTCTCCCTCCCACTGGTTTTCAGCTGCTGCAGAGGGCCATACAGGGGATCAGTTCCAGTAATTGCCCCTCCACCTCACTCATCAACCTCCCTGAGCACCATATGTTTCTCCCCTGCCAGCCCCTTTCTTTCCTAAATTAACACAATGAGTGATTAGTACCGATCACTGTATTCATTCATAACTGAAGCATAGTAAACTGTGTTTTTTTTTTTGGGGGGGGGGGCGCTGTCAGGTTGGTTCTGTAGGTCCTCGTGGTTTCTAACAGCAGCCCTGCCTGCACGCCTAGAAAAAATGGCCATTTAACCCTTGTAGTGCAGGAAGGAGGGGTGAGGATAGATTTTTTTTTCTATTTCTGAAGCTTAGCTTTAAATCCAACAGTGAAACGAAAAAAAAAACTGAAAGAAAAATTAAG